ATGCTGCCTCCGAGGGTTTAGGGTTTAGGGTTTAGGGTTTAGGGTTTGGAGGTTTGCAGATCGAAATGAAGGGAGAAGTTGCGCGGTTTTTTTCCTCACCGCCCCCAGGCGTACGTATAGCTCGTGGCCCTCCCCGTGTCTTCTTTTTTGCTTCTTTGTTTTCATTTCTTCTTTTATTTCTTTTCCTTTTTCCTGCTGCTGCTGCTGCAGCTCGCTGCTCCCCCAAACACTCCTCGCTGGGGCCCCCCCTTGCATGCATTTCAAATCCCCTGGCTTCCCTAAGGGGCTTCTGGCGGGCCTTTAGGAATCGGCCAGCAGCAGCAGCAGCAGCAGCGGCTGCTGCTGCTGCTGCTGCCAATGAGACAGCTACGCCCAGGCCAGATGTAGCAGCTGCAGCAGCAGCAGCAGCAGCAAACGAAGCAGCAGTAACGCCCCCTGCACTTAAATGGGGCGAAGCTGGAGCATTTGAAGTTATCAAAGGCGAGCAGCGCAGCGCAACAGCAGCAGCAGCAGAAGGTGGAGCTGCTGCTGCTGCTGCTGCAGCGTCGAATGCAGCAGCAATACTCCCCGCAAGTCGGGAAGCTAAGCCAGCAGCAGCAGAGAGTGCAGCGTCATGTACAGATTCAGCAGAGGAGAGCTCAGCAGCAACAGCCGCTGCTGCTGCTGCTGCTGCAGCAGCAGCAGCGGAAGTGCGGGAAGCTGCACTGTGGTTTGAGGAGCAGCGGGACTTGTGGAAGCAAAAAGCAGCAGCAAAAATTAAGCAGCAGCTCAAAGCCGTAGAGGCCATAGAAGAAGCAGCACGGGAAGAGAAGAGAAAACAAGAGGCACTCAAAAGGGTGAGCTGCTGCTGCTGCTGCTGCTTTTGCTGCTGCTGCTGCTGCTGCTATAGTATTGCGTACATGCGAATTGCGGTGGCAGCAGCTTGGGATGCACTGTAGCTCCAGTGAGTGTACATGGCTGCCTACAGCAGGGCCGCAGCAGCAGCTCCTGCTGCTGCTGCAGCTGCAGCTGCTGCTGCTGCTGCAGCTGCTGCTGCGGCGTTTGCTGCGCTTGGTTTTGGCTGCAGCCGCGTCGCCTGGTCTTCGGCGCAGCTTCGCTGCAGCAGCGGGGATGGCTGGCAGCAAGAAGCAGCAGCAACGGCAGCAGCAAAAAGGGGCCGCTTTTGCCTTGCATGCTTTTTGCCGCCACGCCTCCAGGCCGCCTCGCCGTGGCCCCTGCAAGCTGCCTCCCCAGCAGCAGCAGCAGCAGCAGCAGCAGCAGCAGGGACTTGCCGTGGGTCTCCTTCGCCGCCCTTGCACGGCTAAATCGTGCAGAGCAGCTGCGGGCCAAAGGGCTCTGGTTTGGCCAGCAGCAGCCCCCGGACTTTTCGGTCTTTTACGAATTTGCTCCTCCTCATGTGAGTCTTCTGCTTCAAATAAATAAAAAATATAAAAGTGCAGCAGCAGCAGCAGCAGCAACTGCTGCTGCTGCTGCTGCTGCTGGGAGCGGGGCGAAATAGCCTCGCTCTGCGCGTCTTACGGTGCACGTACAGCTCGTTCACGGCTGCGGCTGCTGCTGCTGCTGCTGCGTTTGCTGCCTCAGGTGCTGCTGCTGCGCGCGCTGCTGGACCACAAGCGCGCGCTGCCGTGTCTGCTTGCTGCAGCTTGCTGCTGCTGCGCTGCTGCTGCTCGGAGGCCTTTAAGTGAAATGTTTTTTTCTTTTCTTTTGTCTTCTTCTGTTTGGAGCCGCTACTCCCTGTGGTCGCCGCTACTGCATGCGCCCCCAGCGCTGGGGCTGCTGCTGCTGCGCCTGCTGCTGCAGGCTGCAGCAGCAGCAGGAGGAGCAGCAACTGCTGCTTGCAGAAGACGCTTGGAAGAACTGGAGGCCAATCTTCTCGAGGCTTCCATCCCCGAAAATGTGCACTTTGAAGAGCCAGACGGGGAGCCCGTAGTAGAGCCCGCAGTGGCTAGCTAGCCAGCTAGCTAGCTAGCCAGCTAGCTAGCTCCAGTTATCTGGCTAGCTACCTAGCTAGCTGGCTGGCTAGCTAGCTAGTTAGCTAGCTGGCTGGCTGGCTGGCTGGCTAGCCACTGCCAGTCCTAACTAGTGGTAGCGCTGCAGCGGAAGAAACTCGAATGGCGTTTCTCCCCAGCTGCTGCTGCTGCGGCGCCATTTGGGGCTGCGAGCAGCACCAGCAACATTTGACGAATCGAGTTAATTGTTTTGGCAAAACGGCGAAGCTTTCGGGTCTTCGCGGCTTCAGCTGCTGTAGGAAGCTGCAGGCAAGGGCAGCGTAGAGAGGCTGGAAAGCAAAGGAAAGCTCCAGTTAATGGCACTTTGAATCGTTTGCAGCTGCTTGAACTTGTAAGAATAAAAAATAATAATAATAATAATTAATTGAAGCTGAATTCAGCTCTCCACAGGCAAGCATGGCACGCCGCAGTGCAAGGCTTGCTCGGGAAACCGTGCAGGAAATCGATTCCTGCCAAATGAAAAGAGGCGGAAGAAAAGTTTTGTTTCAATAAAGAGCCTTCATTGCAGCTTTTGCTTTCGAGCAGGAGCAACGAAAACAGAAAGAAAAGGGAGGGAGAAAAGAAGCAAAATGATAAAGGTGCAGTTCAGAATGGCCGGGTTTCAGCAAGACACGCAGGAGGATTTCGGGTGTACAGGCAGCTTTTGCTGAAGCAGCAACAACTTGAATTGAATTAATTCTTGAGGCAGCAGCAGCACGTTTGAAAGATACGCTGCGGCGCTTATGATGCAGTTCTTTCTTTTTGTTCTTTTATTTCCCTCACTTTTGCAAAATAAATATGTTTCCTGCACGCGGCTGAAATCCGGCTCGCGGGCGTGGGTGGCGCCGTACCAAATTGCGGGTCCGCGGGTTGACGATGAGTGGAAAGCTCGTAAGTAAATGCGCAAAAAGAAATAAAAAACAATTTTTAATTTGCAGCTTTTGCAAAAAGCTGCAAGGCCGACTTCGGAATGGGAGTTTTCGCCGATTTTCCTCTTCAGCGCGCTGCAGTTCAGCGACCCCGTGGTGGGATCTTTGGTGTTGCTGCCCTATTCCTCGGCCTTGCCCGCTTGTGAGGACTTTGTTGAATTTTGAAAATACTTTTTGAAATGAATTCAAAACGCTGCAGTCATTTGGCTCACGGGAACTTCCCGCACGCCGCTGATGAAGAGTTGGTACAGCGGTAACTCTGTTCAAGTTTTCTTGAATTTGCGATTTCGCACTTCAAAGCCCCCAGCCTTCAACTTAGGCTTCATGGCCTTTGCATTTGTTTTAAAAGTAAAACTTGCAAATTAAAATCAAAAGTTTCTTCAACTGCAGCTTTTCAGGCAGCACTACTTGTCGGAATATTTCCAATTGTGGCGGTGGTTCTTGCAGATTTGTCAGCAGCAGTTGGCGTTTACGGGTGAATTAGAAAGCTGCTTCTGCTGCTTTTCAAAAGTTTCTTTTTTATTTCTTTTATTCTTTTTCTTTCAGCTTTCTCCAGCCCGACAGATTCTTTCCCCTTTGCGGGATCTTCTGGGCCAGTTTCATCATTCCCAACATGGTCTACGTGACTTGTCTCTCGCAGGAAAGCATCTTGACCACTGGTCCGTTCGCTCGCGCTGCTGCTGCTGCTGCTGCTGCTGCGTTGCAGCAGAATCCACTTTCCTTTGCTGCTGCTGCTTCTGCTGCTGCTGCTGCTGCACAAGCCTTCTGGCTTCCTTCACCCGGCGTTCTGCACCTCACATTGCGCTCCAATTCCGTTGCTGCTGCTGCTGCTGCACTTGCAGGCTGGGGCTTTCACTGGCTGCTGCTGCTGCTGGCGACAGCAGGTTGCTGCTGCCTCCTGTGGCTGCTGCAGCGGCGGTTCCGGCGTTGGGTGCAGAACGGAGTAACTGCGTCAGTGGGCTGCTGCTGCTGGTTCTTTCGCCGAAAGAAGCAAAAAAATGGAAATAATTATCATTTTTTGAATTAAAAACTGCAAATTTAACTCCAAACTCCCCCGCTTTCCCTGCGGATCGCCAGCATCACCAACGCCTTCGGGGCCGCCGCCGCCGCCTCCTTCGCCTGGGCGTTCTTCGCGGGGCGCAGCAGCTCCGCACTTGACGTTTTATCTTTCACTTCTTATCCGTCGAAAGTGGGAAATGAATTCAAAACTGGACTTGATTGCAGCTTTTGGACCCCTTTTTGCTGCTGCACCTGCTGCTGCTGCTGCTGCTGCTGCTGCTTCAGTTCAAGTGGAGCGATCCCACCGACGTCTTCTTCTTTTTTCTTTTTCTGATTCTTTTTTTAATTGGCATTCTCCTTGACTACCGCCGAGACCTCGCCCAGCGGAGCCCAGGCTTCGGTAAGAGCTGCTGAAGTGCTGCTGGCTGCTGCTGCAGTTCAGCTGTTCTTCTGCTGCTTGTGCACCGCTTCTGCTGCACCGCTGCTGCTGCACCGCTGCTGCTGCTGCTCGATAAAGCACTATTTGTTTTGCTGCTCAGGCGAAGGCAAAGACGAACCCCCAGCCCCCAGATGGATGGGAATAGGGGCCCCTGGCATAGACCTCCAGGGGCCCCCTGCTGCAGCAAACGGGGGCCCCTCTGAGGCCTCTTCAGAAGCTTCGGAGCCTTTCCTCATTTTCCCCGACGCCTCCGAGAAAGCAGGTGTACGTACACCTGGAAAGGCTGCTGGTGTACGTACACTGGAAGTCCTGCTGCAGCCGCT